GGGGGGGGGGCTGGGGGGCTGGGGGAATGAAATCCCGGCCTGGGCCAAAGGCACTTACCGGCTTTGCAAGGATCTTTGTAATCTATGGCTTCAGCCTGATCCTCCGGGGGGCTGAAATCGTAAACGTAGTCGAAATCCAAGCCGGAGCAACGGGAGCGGCAGAGTTTGTTCCAGAGGGTCACCCCAGCCAGCCACAGAGCCATCCTCCAGCAAAACATGGTCAAGGCTCCTCGGCGGAGAGATGGGAAGAAGAGAGGGCGAGGGAGGCAAGGCAGGCAGGCAGACAGGCGCCGGGGGGCCAGGAGCGGCGGAGCGGACGTGTGTGGCTCTGGAGCGGGGTGGGGGGGTGGGGGGCGGCTTGGAGAGGGAAGCCGCGGCGCCGTAGGGAAGAAAGGGCAGCGAGAGCGTCTCGTCCGCGCCGGGGTGGCTTCTCTTCTCCAGGGGGATCGGACCCGGAGCTGGGGCTTCCCCCCATGCAAATGAATCGGGGAGGCTGCCGTGCGCGCGTGGGCGAGGGTGGGAGAGTGTGCGTGTGTGTGTGCGTGCGCGCGTGGAGGGCGAAAGGGCTCCGACCCCCGCGAGGAGAGGGAAGTTTGCGAGGCGTAGGGGCGCCCGACTCGCCCGCCTGGGTCGTCCCGTCCCCCCCCCCTCCAACAACGGCTTCCCCTCTGTCAAAAGGCCGAGCAAACTTTTTCTGCCTTCCCGCCGCCGCCGCCGCAGCAGCAGCAGCGGAGGCACCGCGCTACCAGCGGCTCTTCTGCCCGGGGGGAATCCAAGCGCTTGGAAGAATCTCCTCCTCCTTCTCCCGCTCGCCGCTCGCCCAGCTTTCCGCTCTTCCCGAGGTTGGGCGCTGGAGTCGGGCTGCACATCAGCAAAGCGGGCAGGAAAAAGATGCCCTGGGAGGCGCGGAGGAGGAGGAGGAGAGGAGGAGGACGGTCAGGAGCACGGCAGCCCTGCAGTGATGGCAGCGCGTCAGCAAAGGAGAGAGAGAGAGGAAGGAAAGTGCAAAGGCT